ATACATAATAAATAATAAACCAATAGAAAAAAAGAAAAAAACCACAAATCAAAATGATATAGATATCTAATTTAATTTTCTCTTTTGTTGTTTTCTTAAAATAAAAAGTTTTTGATTTCTTTTTTTTTTATTTTTTTTTTTGAAAATTATTTTTACCCTTTTGTTTCTTTTTTTTATTTGTACAAAAAAAAAAAACATGCAACAAAGCTATATAAAGGTATAACAAGATATACAAACTATATATTATATCATACCTGTATAATAAAAATAAAAACTTTTCTTTCTTTCTTTTCTTCCTTTTTTTAAATTCTAAAAAATGTATTTTCTTTTATCTCTTTTGATATATTTGTGTGAAGAGAGGTGAAAAAAAACAAAATGAAAAAAAAAAAAAAAAAAAAAAAAAAAAGAAAAAAGTATATAAATTGATGTGTTGCTTTATTTGTTGTAATGTTTGGTTAAAAATTTTATTTTTTTATTTTTTTTTTTTAAAAAATTTTAAAATAAAAAAAAAAACGAAATTTTTTTTTATTTATTTTTTTTTAATTATTATTTTTTTTTTTATTTTGATTCTTTTTAATTCTTTCATTTATTCTTTGAGGATCCCATTTTAATAATCGAGAGTGTCGCCCTGTCTATGTATGAATTTGGTTACCACATTACCAAATAATTATTATAAAGAAAATTATTGCATTAGAATTTTTAAAAAAAAAAAAAAATATTAAAAAATGTTATCTATAACCAGTAAAATCTTATTCATTCCCATATAGATTTTTTTCCCTTTGTTTATTTATTTTATTATTATATTGGTTTATATAATATTAATTTTAATAAATATAGATAAAAATTAACTATTAAAGAATGTTATTCAGATAACTCTTTTATTCTTTTTTTTTATATATAGAACAATATTCCTTTTTTTTGAAGATATTTATTTATTTATTTATTTATTACTTTTTATTATTTTTTTGTTTTAAAAATAAAATTTTTATTTTTTTATTTTTTTATTTTTTTTTTTATGTATTGTTTTTATTTTTTTATTTTTATTATTTTACTATTTTTATTAATTTTGTATACAACATGGATGGTATTAAATAAAACAAAAGTTAATTTATATTTTTTTTATTATTAGTAAATAATCAAATATATAAATAAAAATGATATAAATAATATTTTTAAATTACGGAAAAAATCTCCCAGTTTTTTTTTAAAATTTTTTTTTTTTTTAAAATTTTTTTTATTATTTTTAAAATTATATTTAAATTCATAATTGTATTTTTAAAACATATGTGATAAAATGGTAATTTTCTGATTTTATTTTTTTATAATTTTATTAAATTTTATATTAAATGTTAACATAAATAAAATTTATTTTAAAATTTAGTCTACTTCACCAATGTCACCAAATTCAAAATCGATATCACCTACTAGCAAAAAGGTAGAAAGAATCACATTTATAAATAGATTAGAAAAAGAATTAGAGGGAATATGTAAATCTAATGAAATGATACTTGGTGCCGTACCATTACAAATCGACGATTCATATAATTCTGTAACATCATTATTAAATTGTTTAGAAGATTTAAGACCACAAAGCCAAAAGAGTTTTTCAAAATCAAATTTAAAGATTATGGAATTAGAAAAATCAATAAATCAAATTAAAACCAGAATCAGAGATAACCAAATAAAAAAAAATAATATACAACTTCAAAGAGAATTAGAAAAAGAATTAGATACTAAATTATTACAATTGGACGAGTTAACCAGAAAGTTTCAAACCTCTTTAATGAGTTCTACCCAACAGCAACAGCAAAGTCAGCAACAACAACAGATAAATATAAATGATAGACAAAATTTATTTAAATCAATCAAGTCCAGTTTATCAAATTTACAAATTTCAAATCAAAGAGTATATCAGTTAACAAATTCATTTTATTCAACATTAAAAGGATATTTTAATTTATTACTCGAGATTTCAAATAGAATACCCGCAATGAGAGGTGGCATTGATATAGTTGGTGTTGTCAGTATAGGTCAAGATGATAGTACAGAAATTTTAGAAAGAATGTGCGATTCGATTTATGAAAGTAGTAAGGTTGCATATACATTTATGGGTGAGATTCCTTCTTTTGAAAAACAATGGTATAGTTATCACTTTAAAATATTTGAAAGGGTAATGGACCGGGCAAGTGAGGATAGTTTTGATGATACAGCAAGTAATGGTAGTGGCAGGGGTAGCGGTAGAGGAAAAAAACAACAAAAAGGTATTTTAGCAGTTCTAAAACGTTTCAAAGGTAGTTCATATAGACAGTCAATTAATTTATTAGAGAAAATTGAAGTTATGGAGTATGAAAATGAATTGCAACAAAGATTAAATCAAAATTTATTAAATAATACATCACAAATTTATAATAGTCATAAATTAAACTTTAATCAACAATCACCGCAACAAAATACAGGACCCAAGGATAATACCATTAAAAGACCAATTGTATATGAACCATTAAACTCATCATTCACAATGATGGATGCTGTGGTATTGGATTTACAAAACCTCTTATCATTCCCAGAGAACGAGATTATCAATCACATTGACACTTTAATAAATAAATGCCAAATGCTATTCGAAACCTTTAACCTCTTAAAGGCTAGATATTCCTATTTCAAAGAAAAGCTTACAAGATGGATAGATAACAATTCAACTATTATCAGAGTAGCATCTTATGAATGCGATGCAGAGTCATTCAAAATACCCGATTTTAGATCAGTACCAGATATTCAATATAAAGTTAAAGTATTATATAAGGTCATGCATTCCTATTTCACAACTTGCCTTGTCGCAACGCCAATGGTCTACTTAACACCAGACTCGTGGAAACTTTCAAGTCACTCTGATTTCCGTTCAGAAAAAAGAGCTCAAATAGATAAGCTTTTATTGGTATTGAAATCAAATTATCCAATAGATTATGATGTATTAAGAAAGTTAATTTTAGAATTTACAGATATTTTAGTTTGTGCTTTAGATATTCAAATCCCATTAATGTTGGAAGTATATGAAGATGATAGCACTTTAACAAAAAGAAAAAATTGGTCCCACGAAAGAAAGCTATTAAAAGAGACAATTTCAAAATCAATACATCAGTTAAAATATTATCAAGCATCAAGTTCCTCAGCTCCACCAGCTAGTTTATCCAATAGTTTTAATAATAATGAAAATAGTGCAACATATCAAGAGTTATTAGGATCAAGTGTAAAAATGTTACAAAGTATTATGCTTCAATTTTTTAAATTTAAACCAATAGGAAGACCACACCTTTACAAGAATGATCATCAATATAAATTAATTTCTGAATCTAAAAAAAGATACGATTACAGAACTTCAATTTTAATTTAAAAAAAAATAAAGTATAATTAAATCAAAACTATTTGAATTTTGAATTTCAATACATTTATAAAATTTTTTTTTTTTTGGTCTGGTTAAAAATTTTTTTATTTTTTTTTTATGGTTTACAAACTTGAATGAATACCATAAACTAATGGTTTTTTTTTTATTGCGGACTATGTTTTTTTTATTTGAAAAAAAAAAAAAGATATTTTTTTTTTTTTTTACTTTCAAGATTTTTATTTTTGGAACAATCTTTTCCTTTTATATTTTTTTTATACTTTTTATTCCAATGATATATTTTTACATTGGAATAATGGTTACAAAATAATTATTTTTAAATAAAAAAGATTATAAAAAAAAAAAAAGTATAAATAGGTTCAAATTTTTTTTTTTTTTTATCAAATCAAAAAATTATTAATAATTTTAAAAAAAGAAATAAATAATAAAAAAATGTCAACAGTTTTAGTTATTGGTGCAGGGTAAAAATATTTTTTAATAAAGATTAATAAACATAAAATTATTATTTTTTTTATTAATTTTTTTATAAAATTTAATAGTGGTTTTATAGGTTCAGAGGTTTCATTAGCTTTAGTTAAGAGTGGTTATAAAGTCTATGGATTGGTTCGTAAACAAGAAGCAGCAAACAACTTATTGAAGAACGAAATTATCCCAATTGTATGCTCTGCTCAAGATACCCAGGTATGGTTACCATTTGCTTTAAAGGTCGATATTATTATTGACACCATTGCAGATCTTTCCGACTATACAACTCCTTTTAAAGTTCAAGAGGCATTGAAAACTGTTCATCAAGAAAGACCAAAAACCTCGATTATCTATACCAGTGGTTCATTAGTTTATGGTGATAATGATTTCTTAGTCGATGAAAACCAACCATATCTCGACCATGGTTTCAGCCAGTGGAGAATCAAGATAGAAGAAGAGTATAAGAAAATTGGTGCCGTAATTATCCAACCAACAATCTTGTATGGAAAGTATCAATCATTTGCAGGTTATTTCTTTGAAGCTGTAGTTAATCAACAAACAAATGGTGTTGTTAAAGTGTATGGTAAACCAGGCTTAACCCAGGGTTTTATTCACATCTACGATCTTGCCAATCTCTATTTGCTAGCAGTAAAGAATGTATCACTCGTTAAAGGACAAGTAATTATTGCAAACTCTTTTAATGAAAAGATTGAAGATTTACTCTATTCAATAGGTAAAGCTGCAAACAAACCAGTTAGCAAAGTCGAGTTTATTCCACCAGTCAAAGAAGCAATTTTTACCGAAGCTTTGACCTTTAATCAAATCTTTTCACACACAAAATCAACACAATTGCTTGGTTACCACCCAACCCAAAAGAGAATCGTTGATGATACCGAGCGTTATTTAAATGCCTGGGTAGCTTCAAGAGATCCAAACTCTGGTATCCAAAAGTTAATCGATTCAGTAGTTCCAAAAAGAGCAGAATAAATTAAGCAATAAAACATAACACATAAAACAAATAAAGTTTATTACTGTTATTGTTATAATCGATTTAAAAGTTTATAAATAAATTGTATTGTTTTTTAATTAATTTTATTTCCATTTAAATTCTAATTTTTTTGATTTTAATTCGTTAATATTATCAAATAAAATATCATATACACTTTCTTCTTCATCTTCATCTTCATCCTCGTCTTCCTCTTTACCACTTTCAATTCTTTGTTGTTCTTTTTCTTGTTGTAACTTTAATTGTTCAGCTTCTTTTTTGATTTGCTCTTCATCTCTTTGATCGTTGCCCATTAATTCGAAAAGTTTGAAGGATGTGTTGTGGTCTACTAAGGATTTGCAAATTTCAAACATGTCCATAAATCTCATATCTACATTGTTGAGTGAAAGGCATTTTAAGTTTGTAATTTTGTTGCTTGAGATCCAATCAATTACAATTTCTTTAGCTTTTCTTCCAAACAAATTGAAACTGATATCTAAATATTCTAAACTATGTTTGGAATGGTGTTGATCGATGACCACTAATTCTTTTAATGACTCTAATGACTCTAATGATAATTTGTTGTAAGCAACATCTAAAAGATTAAGGTTTGGAAGGAAACCCTTTCTAATGGCAGAGATGATACCTTTTAAACCCTCTTCGCCAATGAAGCAGCCTCTTAAAGATAAGTGCTTAAGAGTTGATACTTGTCCTAATTGTTGAATGTTTGTCCATTTCGAGGTGAGATGATGGCCCATTAAAGGATTACCAGTTGCAGTGAATAAAGTACCCTTCCACTTTAAAAGTGAATTGCCTAAAATTTCACCACCAAGTGAACCAATTTCACAATCGTTTAATTCAAGTTCCTTTAAACTATTTGATTCTAATAAGAGTTTAGATAACAATAACGAGCTTTCGTCTTTAATTGGGTTACCACTAAGAACTAATTTTTTTAAGTGTTTACCACTCGATATAATTGTATTGATAAAGCCCTCTGGGACATCACCATCAATTTCATTTCCGCCTAAATTTAAAATTTCTATATTTTCATTTGCTTGAATGATACCCTCCAAGTGAATTAGTGATTCAGAGTCTAAATTGTTTTCACTAAAATTAAAATGTGTAATGCTCTTATTTCCAGTTTCAATTACAATCTCTTTAATAATTCTTAAACTTTCAGAATTGATTGATTGTTTTGAGAAATCTATAGATTTTAAGGTTTTGGATCTTAATACTCCTTTTAATAATATCTCTAATTCGTTGCATTTTAATCCAATGTCTGTGCTACCAATTGATATTGATTTTAAATTTGGATGCTTTTCAATACATTTACCAATTTCTTTTAATCCCTCTAAAATTATAAAAATTAAAAAAATTAAAAAATTATAAAAATTAAAAAAATAAAAAAATAAATTAATATTTATGTTTTTATTTAAAAAGATTATTATATTAATATATTAATTTTACCCAACCCTAAATCATGGCCGTGCATGTATAATTCAACTAAAGATTTGTTTTCACCTAAACCATTTTTAAATTCAATTACATTGGTTTCGTTAATTGGCATAAATGCCGGAATAAGGAATAATGATTGGATTGAATTTTCTTTTAATTGATTGATAATTCTGCTAATTTGTGATGTATTTATTTGACCCCAAACCATTTTATTACTTTCTCACTATTTTTTAAATATTATTTAAAATATAAATAATAAATTATGAAAACTTTTTTGAAAAAAAAAAAAAAAAAAAAATAGAAAAAAAATAACAAAAAATTTATAATATTATGTGTATATATTTATATATGCACAAAATTCTATAAATAAAACAAATCTGATCACACAATAATAATCAATAAAAAAAAATAAAAAAAAACTTGATTCCCCTATCAATAATAAAAAAAAAAAAAAAAAAAAAAATTAAAAAAAAAAAAAAAATTAAAAAAAAACGAATTTTTTATTTTTTATTTTTTTTTTTTATTTATTTTTTCATAAATATCACAATAAAGAAAATACGAATCATTATTATTTTTATTAATTTGGTGTGTATATAGATTTAGATATAAAAGATGAAATTAAAAAGAGCCAAATCATATAAAAAAACAATTCAATTTTATAAAGCAAATTATGCATATAAAGAGCCATTTTCAGTTTTAAGTAATATAACAATATTTAAATATACACACCACAAAATATATCTTTAATATAATACTAATTAAATATTTTCATTTTCTATTCTATAGTGGACCCTGGTTTTATTAAAAAATGTTTAAATATGAATATTTATTTTAAAGAAGCTTTACCAAAATTATTGGAATCAAAAGTTAGTTTTTGTAGGTACCATTATATAAACTAAATACATAAATATGTGCATATATTTATTATTTTTATTTTTAATTTTAAATTTTAAAAGTTATTACACCATGTTGTGTTGCAGAAATGAAAAGAAATAGTAGAGAATATTCAAATGATTTAATTTCAACATGTAAAAGAATCGATTATCATCCATGCAATCATCAATTTGGACCAGATGAAACTGAATTGGTTCATAAGTGTTTTACAGACATAAGTAAAAAATTACCAAGTCAATTCTTTTATGCAGTTCAAGATCATGATCACAGATTATCACTAAGAAAGAATTTAGGTATACCAATTTTATTTGTTTTAACCAATGTTATCATTTTAGAAAAACCCTCAACCTCATCTTACCAAAATATGGTTAAAACTCACAAAGCAATTACAGCAACCAGCTCAAGAGAAAAAGAAATGTTATTAAAATTAAAATATGGTGATAATTATAATCCTGAATTGAATAAATCAAAAGTAGCAAACAATACAGAGAATAAAAATAATATTAAAGTTCAAAAAACCCCAACTAAACTTCAACCCACACCATTAACTCCACAAAATAAAAAAGATATCAATAAAAAAGAAATTATTAAAAAGGATGAAAAATTAAAAGATAATAGTATAGATGATAATAATAACATAGATAATAGCATAGATAATAACATAGATAATAACATAGATAATAGTAATAAAAACGATAACAATAAAAATATAGATATTGAAATGGGTGATGATATTGAAGTTAAAGACGAAACCACAACCACAGAAAAAATTATTGAAAAACCAAATTTAAAAAAAAAATTAGAAAAAGAGGAAGATAAAGAAAGAAGAAAAAAAATAAGAGAATTAATTTCCCAAAAAAGAGATGAAAGATTAGAAAGAAAGAAAATGAAAGAAGAAAAAGAACGTATTGCAAAATATAAAATATCAAAATTAAATAGTAGAACAGGTGAAGCAATCAAAAAAATAAGAAGAAAGAGATCAAAGGCTCATAAAAAACAATAAATAAATAATAAATTAAATAAACAGTATAAATAAATAATTAAAATAAAAAAAACTTTTATTTTTCGTTTTTTTTCTTTAATTTTTTTTTTTTTTTTAAAAAATTTTTTAAATATTTTTTAATTTTTTTGTCTTAATTTAAAATTTTTTTTTTTTTTTGTTAAAAATTCACAAATAATAGTTGTATAATTTTTTAATATCATCATTTATAAACAGTATATATTTTATATTTTGTTTTAAAAAATGAGTTCTAGCGAAAGTAATACTACAGAAAAAAAAGTATGTGTATATAAATATAAAACAAACCCATATCATTAAATTTAATATTAACATTTATATTTAATTTTATTTAAGGATATTATAAACGAAAAAAAAAGAAATGAACCAGAAGAAACATATAGTTCGGATGATACAGGAGAAAAAAGAATAAAGAGTAGCGATAAAGATAAGGAAAGAGATAGAAGTAAGAGTCGTGATAAAGATTATTACAGAGAAAAGAGTAGAGATCGTGATAGAGACAGTAGAGACTACAGAGACCGTGACAGAGATTATTATAGGGATAGAAGTAGCAGAGATTATAGAGATCGTGATAGAGACTATTATAGGGATAGAGATTATTACAGAGGCAGCAGCAGAGATTATGGAAGAGATCGTGATAGGGATTATGGTGGCAGAGATCGTGATAGAGATTATGGTAGCAGTAGGGATAAAGATTATAGTAGAGATCGTGATAGAGAATCAACTAGTAGAAGTCGTCATAGTGATTCAGCAAGTAAAAATCGCGATTCTAAAGAAAAAGAAATATCAAACGGCAACAAACCATCAAGTGTTGAATCACCAAGCCTCACATCATCAAAAGAGACAAATGGCAAAGATACATCATCATCATTATCATCATCAACATCAACATTACCAGAGCCTGATGAAGAAAGTGACCAAAGAACTGTTTTTGTTTCAAAAATATCACAAAATGTTGTAGATAAAGACTTATACGATCTATTTTCTAAAGCTGGTAAGGTTTTAGGTGTTCAATTAATCGTTGATAAAGTTACCAAGAAAAATAAAGGTGTTGGTTATGTAGAGTTTGCCGAAAAGGTTATGGTAGAAAGAGCTGTTGCTCTTTCGGGATCATATTTGGATGGACAAGCTATTACCGTTCATGCAATTCAGCCAGAGAAGAAAACTACCAAACCAACTGGTATTTCAGCAGAGCAAAGTAGAATTTATGTTGGTTATATTCATCTCAGTGTTACAGAGGAGCAAATTAGAGTAATTTTTCAACCATATGGCGATATTGAGTTTATCAATATCCACACAAAACCAGGTATTTCAAAATTTGCTTTTATTCAGTTTAGAACTCAAGAGTCAGCAAAGAGAGCTATATCAGAGTTAAATGGTTATGAATTGATGGGTAAGAATCTTAAATTAAATATGGTAAGCCAAGAAAAAAATGCAAATGGTACCTATGTACAAATACCACAAATTAATAATATAGTACATCATGGCTATGCACCAAATCAAGCTTACAATGCTACAGCTTCTGCTGTTGCCGCTCTTCAACACCAAGGTTTCCCAGTTAACCCATACTATTTACAACAACAACATCCACATCAACAACATTTCCAATCTCAAATTCAAGCTCATCTTCAGCAAGGTGCCACAAACAATTCAAATCAACATACATTTAAAGAAAATACTCCACTTTCATCTTTAGATGAAGATGATGGAGGTATTCCACTTACTGCTCATGGTAGAGCTCTTTTAACAGCAAAACTTCAAGGTAAAGTTTTACCAACTCCACAACAACAAATGGCTAAAGCTCCAGCTATACAACAACAGCAACAACAACAGCAACAACAACAACAACCAAACATGCAAACATCAGTTATCCAACCATATACATCATTACCACAGTTTGGTTTTTCATCAACTTGTTTAATTTTAAGAAATATGTTTGATCCAGACACGTAAGTTTTTTTTTTTTTAATTTAAAATTAAATTTATTCGATTATTAATTCATATTTTTTTTTTAACATTTAATTAGTGAAACCGAGGAAGATTGGGATCAAGATATTACAACAGAAACCCATTCAGAATGTTCACAATTTGGTAAAATTCAACATATTTATTTAGATAAAAATACTAAGGTAAGTTTTTATTTATTTTTTTATTAAAATTAAATTAAATTAAATTGAAATATTAAACTTTTTTTTTTTTTTATTTTTAGGGATGTATTTATATTAGATATGATAACCCAGAATCACCTCTTAAAGCAATCCAAAAGCTTCATGGTAGATGGTTTTCAAAGAACGAAATTATTGCAGAGCTTGTTCCAGAACCAGTTTATAAATTAAAGTTCCCTTTTTAAAATTTTAATTTTATAATTTCAAATTTATTTTTAAATAGATATATAGGGGAAATTTAAAATTTAAATAAACTAATCTTTTTTTTTAATTTTAAATTTATAGGTTTTTTTTAAGATTATATTTTATATTTTATAGGTTTTTTATTTTTAAATGTTGTGGTTGTTTATGCAAAATCTTTTAATTTATAATAAAAGTGGTAATGTAGTTATTAATATTTAGATTACTTCATTGTTTTCCCTAGTTTTTCAAGATTTTTTTTTTGTTTGTATTATCATCAAAAGGATTTATAAATTTTTTATTTTTTTAGTCAATGACGATTGTTTTGATTAAAGGTTTGTTGTATGTTTAAACAAAAAAAAAATTTATATTTGTGAAGAGATTTTTTTTTCAAATTTATGTTTTTTTTCTACTTTTTTCTTTTTGTTTTGCTTTTTGTTTTTCTTTTTTATAAAGATCAAATAAAAGTGTATAATCATCACAGATTATTTTCAAAAAAAAAAAAGTAGTTTATGTGTAATCATATAATCAAAAAATAGTGCGTATATAATCATAACCAAAAACTCTAATTTAATAATAGTGTTATAAGTTTTTTAACTATATTTATAAAATATTATTCAATTTTTTTTTATTTTATAAACTATATGATGATAATATTTTATATAAGAATATTGCATCAACAAAAAATTTACAAAAATAATAATTCTTATATATCATCATTCAATTTCACACTTTATGGTGGTGATATTTATTATAAGAGTTTAATTTTTAATTATTATTTTTTTTTTTTAAATCTATATTTATATTGTTTTTTTTTAAATTTTGTGGTTTTTTTAAAAAATATAAATAGAAATAATTAAACAATTAGTATTATAAATCGAAACAATAGTATACAGTTCTAAATTTAAAGTTTTTTTTAAAATAGTTTAAAATATAAAATATAAAATGTTATTTGGTAAGTTCAAATTAAAGGTTTTAAAATTTAAATATAAAAATACTTATTTTTTTATTTATTTATTTATTCAGAATCATTATTAAATCTCAATAAAAATAATAAATCAATGAATAGTGAGATGAAAAATAGTAGTTCATTTTCATTAGACACCCAAACAATAAATATTCTAACTGCAAAAAATACTTATTCATCTGCTTTATTTACCAGACCAAATTATTTCTATTAAAAGATTGTATAATATAAAAACATTAAATAAATTAATAAAAAAAATAAAAATCCTTTGTACATAGTCCGATTAAAAAATTCCATCTGTATATATTTATCTTTTATCTTATCTTTATTTAATTTAATTTTTTTTTATTGTTTCTTATAAATTGAATGTTATTTATTTAAAAAAAAATAAATAAAAAAATTAATAAACTAATTAATAAATTGAAATAAGAAAATAAACTAATTAGTTAGTTAATTAATTATTTAATTAATTAATTAATAAATAAATAAATAAATAAATAATGATTTTTATATTAAATATAATTAAATAAAATTTATTAAAAGTTATCTATGTTATGAATCTTACCGCCCATAAATACTGGTACGGTATTAGGACGGGGTTGGTTTCTAGGGGTTGGCGTACTTGAAAAGTGTGCATATTTCTTAATTAATATTACAGCCAAAGCGGTACCAATAATTAAAAATGGAATTCCAATACCTAAACAAAGACCCAAAATGAGACCTAGTTTACTCTTTTTAGTGTCAGAATGATGGGCATTGTTTTGATTATTTACACCAAGGTGAGGTATACCATTAATATTATGAACTTGACACTTCGATGGTCTTTTAATGGTTACGTTGTTGTATTGAACAGTACAATGATTTGCATCTGAAACATTTAATTTGTAAATTCCGTCGACCCAGAAAGAGACATTCAAAAATGGACCATCATTTTTTGAATATTTGTTATCAAAGAAATAGGTGGTTCCATTTAAAGGTGTGCCACCTCTTGCATAAACGATCATATCTGCCAATGATCTTGCTGAGCAATCTTCAGCTTGAATATATGTTTCTAATAATTTAACTGGTTTTGGTTCGGTTAATGTAAAGTTGATTCTACCAGCACTACATAATACTTTTGATTTGTCATTTTCAATTGAGAAATCTACATGGTATTTTCCTGCATGTAAGTTTTTATATTTAAATGTTTTATTAACAAATAGTGGCATAATAGTTTTGCCACCAGGTCCTGTGACAATATATTTCATACCCGGAATTTCTTTAATATCTAGAGTACCTGTTCCACCATGACACTTTGGTCTTACTGGGAAAATTACAGGATATTTTGGTTCTATAAAAAAATATTTATGAATATACTGTTATTTAAACAAAAAAAAAAAGAATAAATATATATTTACCTGGTGGTGATTTAATTGGGACATTTACATGGCTGGAGCATCTGCTAATTCTATCTATAATATCAATATTAAAGCCACTTCCATCACGAGTTGGAATTTGATAGATAATACCAGTGTTTGTTATATTCTGAGTTGAAGCAAATTTGTAAAGGTATTTCTTTGGGTTGTAGTTGAGGATTGAGATTTGTGCATCACTAGAATTGTAGCAAGTATTATTTGTATATTCGATTTTTGGTTCATCTATTACAACATTTTCTAAAGTGATTTCTGTTTTATCGTATACACATTTGTGTCCATGGGAATCGACAGTTTCAAGCCAGAAAATATAAGTAAAGTCACCAAAGAGATGAGAGAATTTACCAGTGGAGCTTGTGGTTGTTTTGTTAACTTTTGAACCGGTACAGTTTGGGCACATGTAAAAGTATGAGTATGAAAGGTCATCGTGTTTTGTCGAGTTGAAGTTTATAATACCATTTGCAGTACCAACACATGATTGATTAATAGCATAGAGCATTGGATTGTCAGGAGCTTTCAAACTGAATATTTTTCTATTTATTTCACGGTCTATATCTTTGAGTGAAAAAGAAAAAGTATAGTTTCCTTCTTTTAATTTATCTCTAACAAGGGCTGTTGAACCATCATTCCATTTAACTTTATAATCATTTGGATTTGGTAATAAAATTTCAATCTTGCCATTTGTTTGGTTGAAGCATGGAGTTGTAACGTTAATTCCAAAAGCTGGAGTGTATCTATATAATGATGTATCCCCTGGTTTCGAATAGTACTATAAAAAATATTAGAATTTTATGTTTATAAAAACTTTAAAGATTAGTTTACTTACAGTATCTAAATCAATTGAAGCAAAAGGACCACAGTAATTATTTGTATCTTTTTTATTTGAAATTTTAATTGATTTTTCAGATTTTTCAGCATAAATATTATAACCATCATCATAAGAAGCCATGAAATAACTAATATCTTTTTTTGGATCGAAATAGAAGAATTTGACATCGCAAGCTGAACCAATGTTAATAATACCAGGGACAGGTGTAAAAGTGCCTAATGATGGGTCGTAGTCATATTTTAATAATACGTGATTATCTTTATCGAAAATATAAATATGTCTAACTCCTTTAAGGCTAGTTGTTAAATGTTGAGAAATAACGGTTTGTGGACTTGCAACTGGGACATTATATGAAACTACACCACTACTAGAATCTTTCATTTGAACTAAAATACAAAAATATATTAGAATTTTTTTTAAATTTTTTTATTTTTAATTTTTTACTTACATTTTGAACATTTTCCCCCAATTGATGATGAGTGGACATATGGTCTAATGGTTGTCGAGTTTTTAGTTTTATAGGCGGCCCATACAAAAGTATCATCAACTGAAAGTGCATCAATATTGTGACTTAGTTGATATGTAATTGGATCAGAGTTCTTTTTCCTTGTATTATACAAAGATATCATTGGTTTTCCTTGTATTTTATAAAATATTACTAAACATCCTTCATAAACAGCTGCATTTAAAACATCAAAACTTGGATTAACATTATCTTTTTCTGGTGGTGCAAAATAATCAAAAAGACCTTCGCTATTAAATGAAATTCTTGAAGTAGGTTTTTGTTTTGTTCCTATTGCCAATACTTTTTTATTTGGGTCATCTTGACCATTATCTTGCAAAATAGTAAATATTGTTCCATTTTCCCCAAAAGGTTTGAATTCTCTTTTTATATCTAAATAAGTTTAAATATGAAGGGTATAAGTAGATTAATTAAATAATAAAAAAAATAAAATAATAAATTACCTTGGTTATATATAGTTTGTTCTTGAGAACTTTGGCTATTCACTATATTGCTAAATATAAATATTACTAAATAAAAAATAAATAATATTTTTAAAAACATTTTATCTGATTGTTTTGTGTTTTTTTTTGAATATTAACTTCCTTTAAAGTTGGCCTAAAAAAATCTAATTGAATATTAATTAATAAATTTGAAAAAGTGTTTTTATTAAAAATGGAACATATTAACAAATGAGGTCAACCAACAATCATAGACAAAAAAAAAGAAAGAAAGATAAATTATTTAAAAAAAAAAAAACAAACTTGAACACAATAAAAAAAAATTATAATTTTATAATTTAATATTTTAAATTAATAAATAATAAATTAATTATTATTTTATAAATAGATTTTTTTACTAATAAATATTTTATATTAATAAAATTATATTTTATTATTTGATTTATTATTAAAAACAAAAACAAAAAAAACAAAAAAAAACAAATTATTTTATAAAATATTATATTTTAAAAATAAAATAATAAAAAATAAAATAATATTATTTTAAATATATAATATAAAAAAGTTAATAATACCAAAATACTTTGAGCTATTAGATAATTGTTTTAAATATAGTTGATTCAAGTAATATTTAAAAATCATAAAAAATTATATTGGTTTATTTTTTTTGTGTGTGGTGTTTATATTTAAAGAAAACAAATAAGCAATATACTATTATCAAAAAATGATATAAATAAAGAAAGTGTATTAAAATATATCTTTTTAAATAGTATTTATTCGTTTAACATTTATTATTATGATTTTGATTATTTAATGCTGAACCACTATCTCCCCCACATATCAAAAGTAATTTGATTATAATATTTTAAAATCATCACAAATTTTATAAATAAAAAAAAAAAATAATATTTAAAAGTGAGGAATATGTTTTTTTTATTGAAAGTTTAATTATTATTATGATTATTATATATTATAATTTGATATTTAAAAGGATCAGGACACGTTAATAGGATTTTTTAAAAAAGATGGATGAAATTGACAATGTTTTTTAATTTTTTTATTGATGTTAATGTTGTTGATAATTATGATGATATTAATTTAATAATATGTTTATGTGTGTTAATACAAAGTTTAGTGATGTAATTGATAGTTATTTTTTATAATATGATGTTTTTTTTCGTTTTTTTTTTTTTTTTTTTTTTAAAATATCAATATCTAATTGATAAAACAAGAAGTTGTATAATTGTTCAAACAAACAGTATATGATGTATATTTGTGTGGCTATATATAGAAGAAAATTGAAAACAAAAAAAAAAAAAAAAAAAAAAAAAAAATATTTTGATTTTGGTGAAGATTATATATGATTTTATATATAGCATTTTGTAAAAGGTACACTTACACAAAAACTATCCTTAAATAATAAAAATAACAAAAGATTTAATATGTTAGCAATATTTGTACTAATACAGTAATAATAATAAATATAAATATAACAGTTGTTTAAGTAATATACATTAATATAGATTTTAACAATAATTGTTAAAGTAAAAAAAAAAAAAAAAAAAATAATAAAAAAAAAAAATTCCTTTTTATAATTATTTAATTTAATTGTTTTTTTTTTTTAATTTAATTTTTTTTTAAAAAAAAATGTAAAATAAGGGAATTATATAAGAGCAACCTTTTATATAAAATATTATCTCTTATTGTAAATAATTCCAATATTAAAACCCATTGACCGCAATATATATAACATTAACACCCCACACACCTTACCTCTTATCCAAAAAGTATAATTTATTAAAATATTTATATAAAATTTAAATAAAATATATTAACACCTTTACCCCCACACACAAAAATATATCAAGAAAGTCCATATTACGAAATTTTAAGAAAAAAAATAACACACAAACATATTCACAAAATTTTTTTTTAAATGGGGGTTGGTTATTATTAAATAAAGTCAATTATTTAAATATGAATAAAACGAAAGAAAATTATTTTTATTATTATTATTATTTGTGTTATGTGTTAAAACGAGTGGTATTTGTTTTTATATGTGAATGCAGGATTTTTTTTATTAAATTTAGAATGGGACAATATTAACAATATTTTAACAATATATCTATATTTATATATAGTAAAAAAAAAAAACTACTATTTTATATATACTTTATTTAGAATACACTTTTTTGTTTAGACATATGATTAAAATTATTTTTTTAAATTAATTAAAAAGCCTATTATGTTTTACTTTTTTTTAAAAATATTTAAATAATTTTTTTTTTTTCCCCATTATGGATATAGAGTTAATGAAATAATAGTTTAAATCCTATTTTTATTATAATGGTTATTTGAATTTAGAGTTTTGGATTTAAAAATAAATATAGTTTAAAATAAAACAATCAATGATTGAAATAAAAATAATAAAAACAAATTATATTAAAAATGGTAAAAAAAAAATTATAAAAACACATTATTTTTTATTAAATATTATTATAATAAATTAAAAAACAATTGTTATTTGAACAATTTTAATCTGATTTATTTTAATATTCATAGATAATGTAAAAATTAATATTATTATTATTATGGTTTTTTTATTACAAATAAAAATAAATAAATCGTAAAAAAGAAAAAGGTGATAATATTACTAAAATAGATAGATCTAAAAAAAAAACAATTAAAACACAAAAAATAAATAGATTGATGGATAGTGTTTATATTACCTTTTTATATAAGATTATGTTAATTAATTATATATCTGTATTTAATTTTGATTACATCTATTATTTTATATCTTATTATATTTTTATATAGGTAATAATTATTATTATCATTATTTTTATTTACTAATATTATCTCTTTGATTTTTTTATTTATTTGATTTTTATTTGATTTATAAATTATTTTTATTGAAAATTTTATTATTAACAGTTGCAATAAAAATTGAAACTGGTATATTGGAATCATTTTGAGAGAATTGTAATTCAGTATTTGAGGGTATAAATAAAACTGAACCAGTATGAAGGTCTGAAAGATTTGATTGTGGTTTACTTTGATTTTCGAATGAAACTTTACCTGAGAGTACTAAAGCGATTGAAGGACCTTTACTGAGATTTGCTTTTAATTTGGGGCATTTGCTTGTGAGGTGGTAATAATCTACTTGGAACTCGTCAACAGGTGGAACATATGAAAGATAGTTTTCAGATGAAATGGATGGGTTGGTAATTGGATCGACTAAACCTGGTTTACCAGTTGAATAAGTTAACATTTCTGCAAGAGTATCAACATCTTTTAATTTTGGGGTTAAACCTGCTCTTACTACGTTATCTGATGGTGCCATGCATTCGATACAATCTCCACTGATATAGGCATGTGGTTCACCTGCTGCTAAAAACATTGCTTGTCCAGGTTTTAATATAAGATAATTTAAAATATAAGCAAAGAAAACACCAACATCTCCAGGGTATTGGCTATATAATTTTAATACTAATCTATCCAAGTCACTTGGGTTGTCTAATTTTGACAATCTTTCTTTTAAATGATGTAAATTGTTTTTGATTAACTCACTATCTGCTTTTAATAATATTGTTACAATTGATTTTAAATACTCTTTACAATCATCTAATTTATTTACTATAGTAAATAATAATTAAAATAATAGTGGATATTAATATGTGATTTCGAATCGAATATAATATTATCCTGGTATAAAAATAGTGGTAAGTACTTACAATTTGGTAATGATCTATTTAATTCTGGTATTGTTTCAATAAAGTTTTGAATTTCATTTAATGGTCTAAAACCACATAATGCTTCAAATGGAGTGGTTGCAACTGCAATTTCAGGTTTGTGATATGGATCTTTATAAATATTTGGGAATTTTTTGAATAAAACTTGAGCTAATTGTGAATCTGGATGTGCTTGAATAGAGAGGGCTGTTCTAATTGATAAAACTTTAAAAAGGAATGGGAAGTCTTTACCAAATCTCTTCTCTACTATTTCACCTCTGATGCATGATGAGTGGTTTAGTTTTTGTTCTCTTTCGATATAATCGTTAAGGTTAATTTCTTCTTGTTGATTTTGACTGTTATTGCACACAACCTTAGAAGGAGCACTTGGGTGTGATCCCATCCATAATTCTGCATATGTTTTATTATCGTCTATAATATTACTGCATTCTTTTGCATATCCTTTTAATAATTGTGCTACTGTACTGTTGGTTCCAAATTTACCCCATTCATAATTTTGTGAGGTGCATTTTAATGGTACAATAATTTGACTCATTCTTTGAATAAAATTACAATTTAATAATACAAAAAAAAAAAAAAAAAGAAAAAAACAAATATAAACTTGTGTATTTAAAAAAAGATTAAAAAATTAAAAAAAAATAAAAAATAAAAAAATAAAAAAAAAAATTAATTTTTTAAAATTTGGGGTTTTTCGAAATAGATAATATTTTTTTTTTTTTTTTTTTGATTTCTATTACAAAATAGTTTATAATAATAATATTTTTAATATATCTCTATTTTTAATTTTTTTGAAATAATTAATTTTTCTTTAATTTTCTTTAATTTTATTTTATTTAATTATATTAATAAAAAGTAAATGGAAATATAGTTGGAAAATTTAGATTATAATTTAAAAAAAAAAAAAAAAAAAGATTAGACCTGTTGCATTTCTTACAAAAAAAAAATAAAAAAAATAAAAAAATTTAAATTTATTAAAAAACAAAGTTCTTTTTTTGGTATGGGCAATACTTGAAATTTTGGGATTTTAAAAAAATATTAAATACAAATATATTTGTAATTACTACACAAGAAGATTTGCATATCTATATTATAAATGAGAAAAGATATAATTTTTTTTTTTTTATTTTATTTTGTTGGATGATATTTCGAAAAAAATAAATTAAAAAATAAAATATAATACACAAAATAAATAAAAAAATAAGTTACAAAAATTAATAAAATATTTTTATTATTAAATTTAAATTTTAATTTTTGATCTAATAAGATTGGATTGTAGTGGTGGTGAATTGTGAGCTTTTAAACGAAAAGCCTGAATGGGACCCTTTTCTAAAAAGACTGGAATTGAAATCCCTAGTGGTGCTGGCGGTGATACGATTGTGAGCTTTTAAATAAGTATCAAAATAAAATATTAGTTTCTATTATATTCAAAGATAATTATAATTATGTAGTTATAATCTTTATAGTTACCTTAATAATTTTTTCTTTTATAATATATACTGGAACATTCAGGATATTTTTTAACTTTTTTTGAGTTTTTTCTGTAATGCATAGTTTCTTACTTAAAATTTTGATAAAGATTTGATTATTTCATTGATGATACACTTGCTAACTGTTTTCAACTTTATCGAAATCATAAATTGAACTTAGAATTAAACGATATAATTAATAATTTAGTCTTCTTCGATTTCATAAATGAAACTTCGAAAGAAGATATTAAACTATTAATTTTATCGTTATCGAATTCAATATGAATCAATATCCATATGGCTAGCAATGTATCGATCCGGTCCATTATTATCTAAGACTTTAATTTATCCAATGTTTGCTTATGCTCAGACATGAGTTGAAAAATAGCAATTTGTTCTGATTGGAGCTTTTTCTCAAGCATTTGGATAGTTTCATCTTTCTCTACTAATTGTTCATTTAGTTGTTTTGATTTGCTAAATTGTCTTTCTAATTTAGCACTGAGAGTGTCCTTTTCTTCGACCAATTTTGATTGTTTAATATCAAAGTCTTGAAGTTGTTGTCCTTGTTGGTTTGCTAAGCTTTGATATTGTTTGATTTCAAGTGATTGGGTGTTTTTAACATTTGTTAATTTTTCCAACTCACTTTTATTTTTTTGATCGATGACCTCTTGTTTTTTTGAAATAGTTGAAAGATGATTGTGGTGGACCCTTTTTTCAATTTCTAAACTTTTAAGTTCATTATTCAATTTGAGTATTGTTAATGAATAATCGTTGTCTAAATCTCTATGGGCTTGTTGATGTTGTTGTTTTTTTAAATCATCGATTTGGGCTAAACATTTGTATAAAAAACCTACTAATAAACTAATGACTACAAGAAAAAAGAAAAAACCAAAATTTAAAATATCCATTATTATAAGAGGGTGAATGTTGATTTGTTGTGTTGTTGAAAATTATATTATTAAAATAAATAAATTATTGATGATTATAAAATATATTATTGAATAGAATATTATAATAAATAAATAAATTAATGTATATAATTATTTGTATTTTTATAAAATAATAAAGAAAAAAAAAAAAAAAAGTTTTTTCGAAATTGCAATTAAAAAAAAAAAAATGAAAATTAAAAAAATAAAAAATTGAAATATTAAAATTTAAAAAAAATTAAAAAAAAATTAAAAAAAAAATGAAATTTACCACAAAAAGAAATGAATCTTTTTTAATGGGGGTTATAACCACACACAGTTTTTATATGAAGTTCAAAATTTTTTAATAATAATGAAACAAAATGATCATAGGATTTTTGATTATGACAAAGAAAGAAAAAAAGTATACTTAAGAAAATTTAACAATAGTAAAATTAAAAGAGTAATAAATTTATAAAGCTCCACACTAATTTAAAAATTATTATAGTTTACATTACCCAAAAATTTCTTTAATTGGCCTTTTTCATTAAATATAAGGAGTAAAATGATTAGTCGTGTAAGGTGTAGCCAGTTGTTGATTCGTACCAAATCACTGCTTTTTTTTAAATTCTTCATCTCCACCATTTTCTGCACTTTTTTTTATTATCATTATTAATTGTTTTTGGGGTGTCAATATTTATTAAAAAATCATCCAAATCAATATATAACACATATTAAACAACATCAGGGGGTCTACATATATACCTCGGGCATTGTGCATACTAGTATTCAGTTTTCATTGGTCTTCCTGGTCCTTTTTTTGGTTCGGGCTTAGATGGTGTTGGAATAGATTTTTTTGGAGATGTGGATATTATTGATTTACTTTTTTGGTGTTAATGTATTTTTTTTCACCACTTTATCTCCATCACCTTCATCATCTTCTTCAAACTCTATTTTATAAAGTAATTACTAAATACAATTGTAATTCAAGAAAAAACAAACTAATTTAAAATCCCTAAATACTCTAGGTAACAGTGTTTTAATTGCTATTTTACAAACTCTCACATCCAACTTATATCAATTTAAATAAAAAATACACCCAATTATCACAATAAAGTTATGATAATCAGATAATGTCATAGAGTCTCACTATATTAACCTTTGGTTTTTATTTTAATCAACCTCTAGACCCAAATACTATTCTACAATCCGTTCATCAAATAGAATTACCCGATAATAAACACCAAACACTAGATTCTTTATAGAAAAAGATTAAAATAAAATATAATACACAAAATAAATAAATAAGTTACTAAAATTAATAAAATATTTTTATTATTAAATTTAAATTATAATTTTTGATCTAATAAGATTGGATTGTAGTGGTGAATTGTGAGCTTTTAAATGAAAAGCCTGAATGGGACCCTTTTCTAAAAAGACTGGAGCTGAAATCCCTAAGTGGTGCTGGCGGTGATACGATTGTGAGCTTTTAAATAAGTATCAAAATAAAATATTAGTTTCTATTATATTCAAAGATAATTATAATTATATAGTTATAATCTTTATAGTTACCTTAATAATTTTTTCTTTTATAATATATACTGGAACATTCTGGATATTTTTTAACTTTTTTTGAGTTTTTTCTGTAATGCATAGTTTCTTACTTAAAATTTTGATAAAGATTTGATTATTTCATTGATGATACACTTGCTAACTGTTTTCAACTTTATCGAAATCATAAATTGAACTTAGAATTAAACGATATAATTAATAATTTAGTCTTCTTCGATTTCATAAATGAAACTTCGAAAGAAGATATTAAACTATTAGTTTTATCGTTATCGAATTCAATATGAATCAATATCCATATGGCTAGCAATGTATCGATCCGGTCCATTATGATCTAGATTTTAATCTATCCAATGTTTGATTGTTCTCGGATATGAGTTGAAAAATAGCCATTTGTTCTGATTGGAGCTTTTTCTCAAGCATTTGGATAGTTTCATCTTTCTCTACTAATTGTTCATTTAATTGTTTTGATTTGCTAAATTGTCTTTCTAATTTAGCACTGAGAGTGTCCTTTTCTTCGACCAATTTTGATTGTTTAATATCAAAGTCTTGAAGTTGTTGTCCTTGTTGGTTTGCTAAGCTTTGATATTGTTTGATTTCAAGTGATTGGGTATTTTTAACATTAGTTAATTTTTCCAACTCACTTTTATTTTTTTGATCGATGACCTCTTGTTTCTTTGAAATATTTGAAAGATGATTATTATGGACCCTTTTTTCAATTTCTAATCTTTTAAGTTCATTATTCAATTTGAGTATTGTTAATGAATAATCGTTGTCTAAATCTTTATGGGCTTGTTGATGTTGTTGTTTTTTTAAATCATCGATTTGGGCTAAACATTTGTATAAAAAACCTACTAATAAACTAATGACTACAAGAAAAAAGAAAAAACCAAAATTTAAAATATCCATTATTATATTAAAATGTATATAAGGGTGAATGTTGATTTGCTGTGGTGTTGACAATTATATTATTAAGATAAAAATTATTGATGATTATAAAATTTATTATTGAATAGAATATTATAATAAATAAATAAATTAATGTATATAATTATTTGTATATTTATAAAATAATAAAGAAAAAAAAAAAAAAAAGTTTTTTCGAAATTGCAATTAAAAAAAAAAATGAAAATTAAAAAAAAAAAATTAAAAAATTAAAAATTGAAATATTAAAATTTAAAAAAATTTAAAAAAAAATTAAAAAAAAAATGAAATTTACTACAAAAAGAAATGAATTTGATATTTTAAATTTATATTTTTTATTTAAAAAAATTAACAAAATTATTAAATTAAATAATATTTATCTCAAATAATATGAGGATTTTTCATAACAATTTTTGTGAAGCTTCTCAGGCACCTGTAACTCATCTGCATAGTAACCCGGAGTTGGTTGTTTATGATTTTATTATATCAATATAGATATTAGAATCTAAACCCTTTGAAAGATGATCTTAATATCCAGGACCATAATAGAAAATGTTTCCAAAAAAGTTGCATTATCTCCACCTTTTCTAACACTTTTTTTAGAATTTGAATCTAGTGAAACATTAGAATCATAGGCTCAAGATCTTATATTTATGTTCAAGTGATTATATTTGCACTATTTTCAGTTTGTTAATATTTAAAATGAAATATAAAAAATTTTAAAAATAAAAAAAAGAGATAAATATTTTAATTTATTTTTTTTACCCCCATTTTCTGCACCTCGGGCACTGTACAGTTTTCATTGGTCTTCCTGATCCTTTTTTTTGGTGCGGGCTTAGATGGTGTTGGAATAGATTTTTTTGGAGAAGTGGATATTATTGATTTACCTTTTTTTGGTATTGATGTATTTTTTTTCACCATTTTATCTCCTTCATCTTCTTCAAACTCTTCAATTTCTTCATTCTCTTCATCTTCATCATCTTCATAATCTTCCTCATCTTCATCATCATCGTCTTCATCTTGAATCTTTTTTTGGTTTTTTCTTGGCGTTTGATTTTTAAAAGAGCTTCTTCTTGGTGCATACCATACCATAAGATATCTTACCAAATGAGATGGTTTACAGAATGATTTATCACCATCTTTTTCATATAGTTTTAAATGTTTTTTTTTGCAAAATAATTGGCATGGTTCATGACGAGGCCTAAGTACAGTATACCCTTGACAAAGAAAATCACTTTTCTTATCTACATTTTCATATTGGTCTTCATCATCAGAGCCATATATTATAACTTTGTTTTTATCTATATTTAAGTCTTTACTTGTATAATGTTCTAAATATCTAAGTGAAATTGGAATATCTTTTTTACTACATATTACAAATTTTTTAGCACCAAAAGTAATTGGTGGTATTCTAATTGAACCTGTTTTTCTTTTGCCACAAACAATACAGTTTCTACCAGATAACTTATATGCAATTGTTATATTTGAATCACCAAAAGCCTGTTTAATGGCATTTAATCGATCAGAATTTGGATGGTTAATTGAAAATGGAGTATTAAAAGTGCTTGGTTTGGTGATAATTTGTGTATTTGTTGGTATATTTGTTGGAGTAATTGGATCACTATTATTATGAACTGTCTTTCCGTTACAAGTTTTGCATGTGCAGAATCTTGGTATTCCCATATCATCATAAACTTTACAAAGACATTCAAACGAATGTAGTATCAATTTCTTTCTTTGAAATACTTCACCACAAAAATAGCATCTATTTCACAATTTAGAAATTCTTGAAGGCCCATTTACAAAGTATATAAAAATTAATAAAATAAATATATTATTTGTAATATATATATTAGATATTGTTTTGGCAAATCAACAATGGTATCATTGAATGGTTTTAAATAAAGAAAAGATTTAGTGGTTCCTATTTCTTGGATACCTGGTATAGTAAATAAAAATATTGTTAGGAGACTTGAAAATAAGGTTTTTGGTGCTATTATTGCACAAGATATGGGTTTCCAAACAAATAATGCCTCCACTAATGAATATTATCATCTATGAAACGTCCGCTTTAACTGGTATTTTATTATCTATAGCAACAGCAATTTGTAAATTATTTTGTAGTTTAGGTTTACCTTTACGATCTCTTGAAAGTTATCATTAGCTTTCTATGCTGCTGCTCCGATCTTAGGTTCGGTTACCCAACTTCAATCAGTTTCTACTAAAAAACTAACCAAAACCTATTATATTCCAACATAGTCAAGAATCTATGGTTAATATGCATGTAGTTGAGCTAATGCTCCTCTTATTTAAGAAATAGAATTTTAGATCCTATGTGTGAAGACTATACTCATAATTTATACAAGATTGTGCACCAACTATGAAATATTCAGAAAGTAAAATCAACTATCAATATTACCAACCAGAAGTTCAATGAAAAAATCCAATTCCAAAAGTTAAAGCTACCCATCATTCAATCATTATCAATTATAAGTTCATTTTTATATTTTATAGAGATAATAAAATTTTCTATTTATAATTTATACAATTAATAATCTATAGATATATTTAATAAACGAAATAAAATAAATAAAATATTTTACTTTTAAAAAAGCACATAAAAAGCACATACTCATAAATACCTGCATCTTTGGGTTAAACAGAAGTTTTAAACAATAGAAATAGTTACAATACAGATATTATGGTTTGTGATAACTGTTATTTTTTTAAAATAAGGAACAAGCTTATTGGTTTTTGTAGATGAAATAAATTATAATACTGTATAAATTTTATTAGAGTGCGATCTTTTAACATTTAATTACATTAATCATTATATAGCTTAATTATTCAAGTATTATAGTAAAGAACATCACATAGTTAAATAAAGAGTATCTCAGGTCTATATGAATTGGGTAATTATTGGGGTATCCATAGAAGAGTAATTACAGCAAAGAAGAGTTAGGAAGATTAAAAATTAAATAAAAAAAATAGAATCTTTAACAAGTTAAAATAAATATATAGTTTCTTTTTTAATTAACTTTTTAAATAATAAAATATTATTATCTTTCAATTATTTTATTTTATTAGGAAGTTTATTTAATTTAATTGTCAATTATACTTGACTTTTTATAACAGTATTGTTATATTACATGAAAAGGGATATATTTTGAACTATGGTACTCAATTTTTAAAGTAGAGTATGCGTACCAAAATATAGCATGTCCGGAACAAAGTATTATTATCATTTCTTGTATACTAGTAGGAGTATGATTATCGGTATTTCCCTGCCTATGTGAATGTGTATGCATGTGATATGTGTATGCATGTGCATGAGTATGAGAATGAGCAGGTGATTATGTATATACATGTGCATGTGCATGTGCATATGAATGTATATATGTATGTGATGTATGTGTATGCCTATGTGAATGTGCATATGTTGTTTTATGAATGTGCATGTGCAAAGGGTATGTATATGTATGAGTATGTATGTGTATGTATATGCATGTATATGTGGATTTCATGCATGAATATGTGTATGAGTATCAGCATGTATGTATATGCATATGCATATGTAAATGTATATGTATATGTATATGAGTATGTGCATTGTGCATTTATATGAGTATGTGCATGTGCATGTGCATGTGCATGTGTATGTGTATGTGTATGTGTAGTGTATGTGTATGTGTATGTGTATGTGTATGTGTATGTGTATGTGTATGTGTATGTGTATGTGTATGTGTATGTGTATGTGCGTGTGCATGTGCATTTTCATGTTAATATATACTGTATGAGTATGAGTATCAGTATGTCCACGTTCATGTATGTGCTCATATGTTTTTGTATGTGTATGTTTTTTGTTTTAAATGTATCCATTATCATTATGATTCAATTTGAATATTCTGATTATGGTCAAATGATTTAATTAAATCATTTATTTATTTATTTAATTTTAAAGGTTTAATTTTAATAATTTTATAGTTTTATTAATTTTATTATTATTTTTTTTTGAAGCCAAGAGGTATGATGGAGTGCTTTGGTTTACAAAGTTGTTCGGAGGGATTGAATGACTTTGAGTTCTTGATCTATACTATATTTCATTGCAGTTATATTTTTTGTGTTATTAATTTCATTTGTGATATATTTCATCAAAACATTTTTTGCCAAATTTCCTATAATTGGTATTTAGTATTATTTCATTCGTTATGTGGTATTAGAAATTTATATAAATAAGTTTAAATTGGTAAATAAAAAATATTTTAAATTAAGATTTAAATTATTAAAAAATTTTAATTTATTAAGAATATAAAAGTTTAAGGTTTTTATTATTTTTTAACTTAAAAGCATTTTGCTGTTGTTTTGATGTAGATGTTGATTTTTTGTACTTATTTTGGTGGTATATGAAAACTATTTGTATAAGTTGTCCTCTCCTTATTTTTTTTTTAGATTCATCCAATAGTTACACATATGTAATAAGGAGCAAAATAACTGGGCCATCCAAAATATACAATAATTTTCTAAAATCTTTCAACTATTTTTCTTTTTCCAATAGTATTTGGCTTTAATTGTGTGACTATTCCAATTGCTTCAGCTGTTCTTTATCCCTAAACATGCTGGTGTTTAATCTATGAGCTTCCATTATGATGATGAAATTCTTTATTAAGTGGTTTTTTGATATTGTTTTCCCTAAATAAAGAAAATAAATAAAAAAATTAAAACTTACCTATAATTTGATTTAATTATTTTATATCATAGTGTTTGATTTAAAATTGGATATTAAAAGTTTAATAAATGATGGTTGTTCTAAATATAAGATCAAAAAAAAAAAAAAATTAATTTAAATACTTTTAAAAAAAAAAAAAAAAAAATTTAAATTATTTTTAAATTTTTAATTTTTTTAAAACAAATTTGGTAAAAATCGTATTTTTTTTTAAAAAAATTTGGGATTTTTAAGAGGGTTTTTTTTAAAAATTTTTATATGGGGCTACATAGAAAAAAAAAACTTTAAACCAATATAACTTTTGATGGTTTGGGTAAGACGATCTGATTCAGGTATCAGCAGATAGATAATTGTTCCCTCTATCGTTTTTTATAAAAAAAATGGCAAAACCTCACCCTCCCTGGATGAGGAAACTTAGATAATGCCAGATACCCCCAATTAAGGAAATACCTGGCACTACCCAGTTTTTTAGCGGCTACTACGGACACGGACTCGACTACTGGTACATTTGATGGCTTTACATTAGATTTTTTTTTTTTTTTTTTTTTATTATTTATTATTATAAATTATTATTATTATTATTATTATTATTATTATTATTATTATTATTATTATTATTATTA